TTAGCTGCGAAGGTCGTGTTGTTTGGTAAGTCTAGGATTTTTTTGGTGTTCTGGTTTGTCTTACTCTGACATCGTTCTAGCTTGCGAGCCAAGTCCACAGAAAGCGCAATTGCCTGGCATAAAATGCTTTATAAGGCAGCTAATAGGGCTACATGTCAAGAGCTCTTTGCCTGGAACTTTGCTAAAGAGGTATATCTCGTCATTATCCCTTCACGCAGGCCATAATCAGAGCTATAAGAGATTATTGCAGGTTAATGAGGTTCCAGTCTCATGGCTGTCGAGCGATGAACCCGTGGATGATGAAATTCTTGTACGACGAGAATTCGAACGCCTCGACTACGACCGTGATCATTTTAGGATCTCAGATGATAATAAAGATTTCAAGTCCAAGTTTCTGTAATCTACTTGGTCGAACTAAGCGTTTGGTTTTAGACTTTCTCCCGCATACCCTGAATACATGGTCATTCCAAAAGAAATAAGTCATAAAGACCTTGTAGATGGGAAGGATTTTCGTTTTTTACAACGTCGGCCTCCCGTAGTTTGGAAGTGTAAGGAAACGGTGCGTTTTTTCTCTCTCATTTGAGTATTTTTTGCTGTTTTAGTCGTGCACAGTCTTCAGTTATAGCCTTTTCCGCTACATTCATTTTGCTCTTCACAGAGCGGTCCTTCTGCGTAGTAGTCAGCCAAGGCTTAGTTTGTCTGGTTGGAGAAATAACGCCGACGAAAAGTTTTTCGAACTTCTTCACAACTATCTTGACACCTATTTACCAGGTTTGTAGTTCATCCTTTTGGACTTGAACCACATATTGTTTCTGTTGTCTTAGGCAAAGATATACTCATCATGGATGCAAGATCATATGCTGCAGCTTGGGCTAATCGAGCCAAAGGAGGAGGTTTTGAGCATCCAGGTAAGAATGAGATTTCTTTTTTCCCTTCATCTGTATTGTTTTTTCTCGTTTTTCTCAAGAAATCTTTATCATAGTGTTTTAACTGGACCGGGCGGAGCCG